TTCAAGACCTCGGGTTGTCTTCAAGACCTCGGGGTTTTCTTCAAGAAACCTCTGGTTGTCTTCAAGACCCCTGGCTGTCCCTTTAAGACCTCTGGTTTCTTCAAGACCTCTGGTTGTCTTCAAGACCCCTGGTTGTCTTCAAGACCCCTGGCTGCCTTCAAGACCTCTGGTTTCTTCAAGACCCCTGGCTGTCTTCAAGACCTCTGGTTGTCTTCAAGACCCCTGGCTGCCTTCAAGACCTCTGGTTTCTTCAAGACCCCTGGCTGTCTTCAAGACCTCTGGTTGTCTTCAAGACCTCTGGTTGTCTTCAAGACCCCTGGCTGTCTTCAAGACCTCTGGTTGTCTTCAAGACCTCTGGTTTGTCTTCAAGACCTCTGGGGTTTTCTTCAAGACCTCTGGTTGTCTTCAAGACCCGGTTGTCTTCAAGACCCCTGGTTGTCTTCAAGACCTCGGGTTGTCTTCAAGACCTCGGGCTGTCTTCAAGACCCCTGGTTGTCTTCAAGACCTCGGGTTGTCTTCAAGACCCCTGGTTATCTTCAAGACCCCGGTTGTCTTCAAGACCCCTGGTTGTCTTCAAGACCCCTGGTTGTCTTCAAGACCTCGGGCTGTCTTCAAGACCTCGGGTTGTCTTCAAGATCCCTGGCTACCCTCAAGAGGGAGCCGGACAGGCACCTAAAGTCAGTACCTGATCAGCCGGGCTGTGGTTCGTACGTCGGTTTACGTGCGACCAGCAGTAACAGCTTGGTTGATCATGCCCTGATCCACCATGAGGCCTGGTCATGGACCGAGCTACAGGGGAACTGACCCCCCGAAACACCCTCCAGGTATAGTCCTTGTTTTGTTGTCATGGTGAGAATAATGCCGTAAGCTGTCCTTTTCCATAAACTCGCGATGTACTTGATAAAATAAGGGAAGTGAGTACTAATGCATTCACTTAATAATAATAATAATAATAATAATAATAATAATAATAATAATAATAATAATAATAAATAATCTTTATTTCTCCAAGTACAATTTATACAGACCATAGTTGACATCAATGACATACTACTATATAGAAAGCTCCTTGTTATGCTGAGCATTTCTCGCAACTTAGGTTAGTTTGGTCCCCAGGATGCCACCCACATCAGTGGCAAGCTCTGTCTCGAGGGCCTTCACAGCTGGCATTAATGACTGGCAAAATCGTAATAACGCCATGGCTAGCAACTAGTTTTTTCACTGCCTTGCCGTGAGTTTCAATCCTACCCCTTGAACGTTCCACCTTCGTATTCAACAGAGAATGACTGAAGGCCATAATGCCACAAAAATAAACTTCGACTAGTCTGAATATAGCCTGGTCTATATTTGTCTTTGTAGCAAAACATATATGTATGTATATATCTATATATATATGGTTAATCATCAAGGTCAAATGAACACCTGTCAATAAAATAAATCAACCTACATGCAAGGAAAGAAAAAAGTTTATATATATATATATATATATATATATATATATATATATATATATATATATATATATATATATATATATATATACATACAGAGTGTCTTGTAAGAGGTGTTATGGATGGTATTGTTGGTAAGACTCAAAGACCCACGATGCTTGGCTTTCTCTGGTTATGGAAATATAAACACATACGCAGTATAATGTGATCCTTTATTGACAACGTTTCACCCACACAGTGGGCTTTTTCAAGTCACACACAGATCTACCTGGGGTGGAAGGTACGGGAGTATTTATAGTCATGTTCAGAATGTTGAGGTCAGGTGGAGAATGCTGCATCTGATGGTCTACCGGGTGGAGTTATAGAGTCTTGGGTAGCTTGGCAGGGGTATCGGTTATGTTGGGTTATTAACCCTCGGAGTTATTAATAAAAGAAAGCCTCCTCCTCCTCCTCCTCCTTCTTCTTCTTCTTCTTCGTCTAATGCTTCCTATTTCTGAGAGATGTTATATTAGGTTTTAAGCTAATGTGTAGGGATTTTAAAGCCAAGAGAATAACAGTTGTGATGGAGCTTAATACTGAAGCGGGAGATAATGATGTGGAAGATATATTAGTTGAGTGTGGAAAACTAGAGGCAAATGGTAATACAATACAATACAACTTTATTTCTTTTCTGCAGTATGCAAAATGTAGCTTACGCGTAATAAAAAAAATGCACAAAAGAAGCATAAAAGAAGCATAAAGAAGCATAAAAGAAGCATGAAAAAAGCATAAAAGCGCAAAAGAAAGCCACTAGCATTACAGTAGGTCTTATCCCTATTTTAGTGATCAAAATTATACTTGACTCTGGTGGGATATAGGTGACACGCAGCCTTTACTGCCTCGTGTAGTCGATATTCTTTAACAAACCAATCGACCAACACTATCAGCCAGAAAAAGCACTAGGGAGGAGTGCTATGGAGACTAATATTGGCTGGGAGAGACCTTGAAGCTCCATATTTGTCTCACGCCACACTAGGTACATCATACAAGGAATCCTTCTAGGGGCCCTTTGGAATAGCTAATGGAAAGACGAGATATCCTTGAGAGATCCTTGCTCCAGCACAGACAGACGAGGGTAGTGCTGCATCTAGTGGGTCTAGGCAGTTGTTGGCTGCAGTGAGGAAGTGGGTTCCTTGTAAGCTTCTTATAGTTTAGTTTAATATCTTCATTATGTACCCCATGCCGATCTTGTGGGCGGTAGTCAAAAAGATTACAGAGGTACATAATGGGTCCAGGGATTGGGCCGCAAAGTTTCTTTGTTTTACAGATAGGGGAATATACAGAGCGAGATACGTGTCTCTTATGTATATATACCAAGAGGAGTGTATCTTTTAGTGTATATACACCGAGAGATGTATATCTTTCATTGTAATACACCGAGAGAAGTGTGTATTTCTCAGTTTATGTGCAGTATCCGCCGCTCTGGGATGATGGAGATACAGTCATTAAAATTTCAATTGCCATGTGAATGGGATGGACTATCCTGTATGGGATAGACTAACCAGCGACAGTAACTCCAGCTCTACTGGAAGGAAACTTTTGAAGCTCCCGTAGCTGATGAAGCCTTAATGGAATACTTGACGATATCCTCGTTCCGTTACTGAAGTCTCCCAGCCTGAGCTGGGAGACTTCAGTATGTGCCCCATCCTGCCTGATGGAATATGACAGGAAAACTTAGATAGCTTTTGTTTCCACTGTGTAACTGTCATAAATAACTGGGTACCAACACAATGCTAATGTATCTAAATAAAAATGCATGTATATTCGACAGGTATCTCTCATTGTATATACAATCTGATCCCTATGTTAGGTACAAGGTATTCGTGACTGGTCGTGGGCGCCTGACTTACAGCATTTATAATCCTCGTGTAGTAGATATGCTTGAAACCTAATAAATCAGCCAATCCTGAAACCTTCTAAGAGAAAAGAACCGACAACGGGAAAGGAAAACATGACAAGGTAGACTTGACAGAGACCAACAGACCGAAACATAAGATGACATGACCTGACAGATCAAAACAGGAGACGACATGACCTGAAAGATCAAAACAGAGACGACAGGTTCTAAAAGGGAAGAACATAAGACGACAGGTCTGCTTGACCACGACAGATGACGGCAGCCTCTCACAGATTAAAACAGACTAGGTTAGTGTCTGACAGACCTAAACAGGAGAAAAAACTGCAGTCATACCAGCACAAAGATAATAGGAAATTCACGACTGGCACAGGACAAGCTCCTCTAAGGCTATCCACTGATGTCCAGGTGTACCTCAAGGTGATCTACTCGCTACCTCCTCTTCCTTATGTTCCCGCCTTCACCTACTTCCCAGTCTTTCACTACTAGCCGTCCCTAATTACATATTTCCAGTCGTGTTTACATTTATTCTCTGTATTCACCCATTTTATTCCTACTCTATTGAAACCTATAATGTAGGACCCCTGTTGACATTTTACTATTGTAGCCTATAATATATATAATTTCTGATCGTGAATTATATCACAATTCAAAATTCTTTTATCAGAACAGAATATTCAATATCGGGGGACAACTTTGATTTACAGGATTTTTTACAAGAATGGTTTCCTGTTATATTCCATCACCCTGGATGGTTTCCTGTTATATTCTATCACCCTGGATGGTTTCCTGTTATATTCTATCACTCTGGATGGTTTCCTGTTATACTCCATCACCCTGGATGGTTTCCTGTTATATTCTATCACCCTGGATGGTTTCCTGTTATATTCTATCACCCTGGATGGTTTCCTGTTATATTCCATCACCCTGGATGGTTTCCTGTTATACCCCATCACCCTGGATGGATTCCTGTTATATTCTATCACCCTGGATGGTTTCCTGTTATATTCTATCACCCTGGATGGTTTCTGTTATATTCCATCACCTGGATGGTTTCCTGTTATACCCCATCACCCTGGATGGATTCCTGTTATATTCTATCACCCTGGATGGTTTCCTGTTATATTCTATCACCCTGGATGGTTTCCTGTTATATTCTATCACCCTGGATGGTTTCCTGTTATACCCCATCACCCTGGATGGATTCCTGTTATATTCCATCACCCTGGATGATTTCTTGTTATACTCCATCACTCTGGATGGTTTCCTGTTATATTCTGTCACCCTGGATGGTTTCCTGTTATATTCCATCACCCTGGATGGTTTCCTGTTATATTCCATCACCCTGGATGGTTTCCTGTTATACTCCATCACTCTGGATGGTTTTCTGATATATACCATCACCCTGGATGGTTTTCCTTCTATATTTCATCATTAATAACGGTTTTCCTGTTATACTTCATATTCACGACAAGTCGCGAATAAATGATGGTCCAAGTAGCTGCACTCACCTAGATGTGACAGACAGACAGAGGACCTAGTAGCACTCGGTGAAGAGGCGGGGCCAGGAGCTGAGTCTCGACCCCTGCAACCACAATTAGGCGAGTACACACACACACACACACACACACACACGGGACAAGGGCCTCAGCAATAAGAATATAAAAGGCAGCAGTGTAGGCTTGACCGTCCAGTGAGGAGGGTTGCTGCTGCCTCCCCCATCATCACACTGTTGGCTCGCATATCATTTCTGGTATTTAATTTGATTTTTAATACTAAAACTCAGAGAGGAACGTTCATGTTATTTTTACCCCGTGCTGTGTAGTACACGTATTTTATATGTATATAGTAGGTGTTTTATGTATAGACGGGAGAATAGATAATCTGTATATTTCGACCTGGAGTTGAGGTCGTTATCAGAATAGCTACAAAGAGTGAGAAATCATCTTATTTTCTATTTTTGTGTTTCTGCTAATGAGGATCTCAGATCAAAATTTAAATATACAGTTAACTATTGTCCTAGCCTCTTAGACTACCATGTAAAGCGTCCCATTATATATATATATATATATATATATATATATATATATATATATATATATATATATATATATATATATATATATTATATATATATATATTATAAATATTTATTTGTATAGGGTGGGAAGCCTACTTTGTCCAGTAGACCCGTGTCAGGCTACACTATCTTGTTTCCTGACGAACAAAACACCACCACCTCTGTATTTTTAATATCCGTTAACAAGGTACTGTTTCACTTCCAGATAATACAGTAGGATAAAGATGAGAGCGCTGAAGTTAGTGTTGGTGGTGGGGCTGTCAGCGGCTGTCTTGCCCTTGATAGACGCCGCCTCACTGGTCAGTACAAAAATATTCATATTATCAAAGGTTAACAACAAAAAATATATATTAAAGTTCGCAGGTTCAAAATGATAATGTGGGTGAAATTCTTCCTGTTTAATATAAAAAATATGTTTAGTGTTTGTGAATATACATTAATACCTGCAACATGGGGCCTTGATGATCTTGGAAGGCTCTTGATCTGAGAAATTGTAGCTGCTCTCCCAGTGGATATAATCTCATTATTTCCCATAACTCAAGAACTATGTAACTCTTTCGAGTTTAGGTCTTCCCGGTGGCTATTTTGTAAATAATTAGATATTTCATGTCCCACAGCTGACTGCTTTTACACGCAGTTTAGGTCCCCAGGAAGAGATCACCTTCAGCACGGTGCCCAGCACAGACGTAAGTCATCCCTTTATTTGTTATACATCTAGGTTAGGTTAGGTAAGGTTTGTCAGGGAACAGGACAAGTGTTTCCTGTGAGGGTCTTATACGATGACCCACAGCTGGAGCTTTTGGTCATCTGACTGAGGCCTTCCACTGGCTTACCCCTCCACCCCCTTTAAATATTATCGAATTAAATTCTATACACCTAGTAGACGGTTCCACCACTACAAAAAAAAAAAAAAATTCAACTACCAAACGAGACCAGATGTGTGGACAATTCTTACACCTGTTGCCCATATTCACCTAGCAGTAAAAATAATATCTTTATTTCTACCACCCCTCAAGGGAGGTTCCTTGATGTTGGTGAGGGGCTCTTGATCTAGGGAATTATATCTGCTCCAGTTCCCTGAATTGAGCCTGAATACCTTCCACCCCCCCCCCCCATGCGCTGTATAATCCTCTGGGTTTAGCGCTCCCCCATGATTATAATAATAATAATAAGTTATTTCTACAAGGTATACAGATCATAGTTGACATCAATGACATACTACTATATAGAAACACCCTTGTTATGCTGAGCATTTCCCGCAAATTAGGTCAGTTTTGTCCCAGGATGCGACCCACACCAGTCCACTAACACCCAGGATGCGACCCACACCAGTCCACTAACACCCAGGATGCGACCTACACCAGTCCACTAACACCCAGGATGCGACCCACACCAGTCCACTAACACCCAGGATGTGACCCACACCAGTCCACTAACACCCAGGATGTGACCCACACCAGTCCACTAACACCCAGGATGTGATCCACACCAGTCCACTAACACCCAGGATGTGACCCACACCAGTCCACTAACACCCAGGATGTGACCCATACCAGTCCACTAACACCCAGGATGTGACCCACACCAGTCCATAACACCCAGGAGTGACCCACACCAGTCCACTAACACCCAGGATGTGATCCACACCAGTCACTACCACCAGGATGTGACCCACACCAGTCCACTAACACCCAGGATGTGACCACACCAGTCCACTAACACCCAGGATGTGACCCACACCAGTCCACTAACACCCAGGATGTGATCCACACCAGTCCACTAACACCCAGGATGTGACCCACACAGTCCACTAACACCCAGGATGTGACCCACACCAGTCCACTAACACCCAGGATGTGACCCACACCAGTCCACTAACACCCAGGATGTGACCCACACAGTCCACTAACACCCAGGATGTGATCCACACCAGTCCACTAACACCCAGGATGTGACCCACACCAGTCCACTAACACCCAGGATGTGACCCACACCAGTCCACTAACACCCAGGATGCGACCCACACCAGTCCACTAACACCCAGGATGTGACCCACACCAGTCCACTAACATCCAGGATGTGATCCACACCAGTCCACTAACACCCAGGATGTGACCCACACCAGTCACTAACACCAGGATGCGACCACACCAGTCCACTAACACCCAGGATGCACCACACCAGTCCACTAACACCCAGGATGAGACCCACACCAGTCCACTAACACCCAGGATGCGACCCACACAAGTCCACTAACACCCAGGATGCGACCCACACCAGTCCACTAACACCCAGGATGCGACCCAAAACCAGTCCACTAACACCCAGGATGCGACCCACACCAGTCCACTAACACCCAGGATGCGACCCACACAAGTCCACTAACACCCAGGATGCGACCCACACCAGTCCACTAACACCCAGGATGCGACCCACACAAGTCCACTAACACCCAGGATGCGACCCACACCAGTCCACTAACACCCAGGATGTGACCCACACCAGTCCACTAACACCCAGGATTTGACCACACCAGTCCACTAACACCCAGGATGTGACCACACCAGCCCACTAACACCCAGCATGTGACCCACACCAGTCCACTAACACCCAGGATGCGACCCACACCAGTCCACTAACACCCAGGATGCGACCCACACCAGTCCACTAACACCCAGGATGCGACCCACACCAGTCCACTAACACCCAGGATGTGACCCACACCAGTCCACTAACACCCAGGATGTGACCCACACCAGTCCACTAACACCCAGGATGCGACCCACACCAGTCCACTAACACCCAGGATGTGACCCACACAAGTCCACTAACACCCAGGATGTGATCCACACCAGTCCACTAACACCCAGGATGCGACCCACACCAGTCCACTAACACCCAGGATGCGACCCACACCAGTCCACTAACACCCAGGATGCGACCCACACCAGTCCACTAACACCCAGGATGCGACCCACACCAGTCCACTAACACCCAGGATGCGACCCACACCAGTCCACTAACACCCAGGTACCTATTTTACTGATGAGGAACATGGACAACCGGTGTAAAGAAACACGCCCAATGTATCTCCCTCGCCGGGAATCGAACCTGAACTTCGCCGTGTGAAGCGAGAGCTTTAGCCACCAGGCCACGGGGCACCGTAACTAGATATTCACCTAGCAGTACCTAGATATTCACCTAGCAGTACCTAGACATTCACCTAGCAGTACCTAATATTCACCTAGCAGTACCTAATATTCACCTAGCAGTACCTAGATATTCACCTAGCAGTACCTACATATTCACCTAGCAGTGACTACATATTCACCTAGCAGTACCTAGATATTCACCTAGCAGTACCTAGACATTCACCTAGCAGTACCTAATATTCACCTAGCAGTACCTAGATATTCACCTAGCAGTACCTAGACATTCACCTAGCAGTACCTAATATTCACCTAGCAGTACCTAGACATTCACCTAGCAGTACCTAATATTCACCTATCAGTACCTAGACATTCACCTAGCAGTACCTAGACATTCGCCTATCAGTACCTAATATTCTCCTAGCAGTACCTAGACATTCACCTAGCAGTACCTAGACATTCATCTAGCAGTACCTAGACATTCACCTAGCAGTACCTAGACATTCACATAGTACCTAGACATTCACCTAGCAGTACTTAATATTCACCTAGCAGTACCTAATATTCACCTAGCAGTACCTAGACATTCACCTAGCAGTACCTAGACATTCACCTAGCAGTACCTAGATATTCACCTAGCAGTACCTAGATATTCACCTAGCACTACCTAATATTCACCTAGCAGTACATAGACATTCACCCAGCAGTACCTAGACATTCACCTAGCAGTACCTAGAGATTCACCTAGCAGTACCTAGAAATTCACCTAGCAGTACCTAGAGATTCACCTAGCAGTGCCTAGATATTCACCTAGCAGTACCTAGATATTCACCTAGCAGTACCTAATATTCACCTAGCAGTACCTAATATTCACCTAGCAGTACCTAGAGATTCACCTAGCAGTACCTAGAGATTCACCTAGCAGTACCTAGAGATTCACCTAGCAGTACCTAGAAATTCACCTTGCAGTACCTAGAGATTCACCTAGCAGTGCCTAGATATTCACCTAGCAGTACCTAATATTCACCTAGCAGTACCTAATATTTACCTAGCAGTACCTAGAGATTCACCTAGCAGTACCTAGAGATTCACCTAGCAGTACCTAGAGATTCACCTAGCAGTACCTAGATATTCACCTAGCAGTACCTAGAGATTCACCTAGCAGTACCTAGAGATTCACCTAGCAGTACCTAGAGATTCACCTAGCAGTGCCTAGATATTCACCTAGCAGTACCTAATATTCACCTAGCATTACCTAGAGATTCACCTAGCAGTACCTATATCATGTGGTACACTGGTTACTGGTAACTGGTTACTACTACTGAGACCTAGAGATTCACCTAGCAGTACCTAGATTCACCTAGCAGTACCTAGAGATTCACCTAGCAGTACCTAGAGATTCACCTAGCAGTACCTAGAGATTCACCTAGCAGTACCTAGACATTCACCTAGCAGTACCTAGAGATTCACCTAGCAGTACCTAGAAATTCACCTAGCAGTACCTAGAGATTCACCTAGCAGTGCCTAGATATTCACCTAGCAGTACCTAGATATTCACCTAGCAGTACCTAGATATTCACCTAGCAGTACCTAATATTCACCTAGCAGTACCTAGAGATTCACCTAGCAGTACCTAGAGATTCACCTAGCAGTACCTAGAGATTCACCTAGCAGTACCTAGAGATTCACCTAGCAGTACCTAGATTCACCTAGCAGTACCTAGAGATTCACCTAGCAGTACCTAGATATTCACCTAGCAGTACCTAGATATTCACCTAGCAGTACCTAGACATTCACCTAGCAGTACCTAGACATTCACCTAGCAGTACCTAGAGATTCACCTAGCAGTACCTAGAGATTCACCTAGCAGTACCTAGAGATTCACCTAGCAGTGCCTAGATATTCACCTAGCAGTACCTATTCACCTAGCAGTACCTAATATTCACCTAGCATTACCTAGAGATTCACCTAGCAGTACCTATATCATGTGGTACACTGGTTACTGGTAACTGGTTACTACTACTGAGACCTAGAGATTCACCTAGCAGTACCTAGATTCACCTAGCAGTACCTAGAGATTCACCTAGCAGTACCTAGAGATTCACCTAGCAGTACCTAGAGATTCACCTAGCAGTACCTGGAGTTTACCTGGAGAGAGTTTCGGGGTCAACGCCCCCGCGGCCCGGTCTGTGACCAGGCCTCCTGGTGGATCAGCGCCTGATCAACCAGGCTGTTGCTGCTGGCTGCACGCAAACCAACGTACGAGCCACAGCCCGGCTGATCAGGGACTGACTTTAGGTGCTTGTCCAGTGCCAGCTTGAAGACTGCCAGGGGTCTGTTGGTAATCCCCCTTATGTGTGCTGGGAGGCAGTTGAACAGTCTCGGGCCCCTGACACTAACCTAGACATTCACCTAGCAGTACCTAGAGATTCACCTAGCAGTACCTAGAAATTCACCTAGCAGTACCTAGAGATTCACCTAGCAGTGCCTAGATATTCACCTAGCAGTACCTAGATATTCACCTAGCAGTACCTAGATATTCACCTAGCAGTACCTAATATTCACCTAGCAGTACCTAGAGATTCACCTAGCAGTACCTAGAGATTCACTTAGCAGTACCTAGAGATTCACCTAGCAGTACCTAGAGATTCACCTAGCAGTACCTAGAGATTCACCTAGCAGTACCTAGAGATTCACCTAGCAGTACCTAGAGATTCACCTAGCAGTACCTAGACATTCACCTAGCAGTACCTAGAGATTCACCTAGCAGTACCTAGACATTCACCTAGCAGTACCTAGACATTCACCTAGCAGTACCTAGACATTCACCTAGCAGTACCTAGGCAGGAGGACGTGTATACACCTTCACGGTTCACTTAACACTGACCAATTACAACATCACTCCGCCATTATCTCCAGCTTAACCCGAATGTTGGTTCTTTTCTGACATTTTGTAAAAGTCACATTAACACTACACATTTACACTACTTTATATAAACACTATTATATCATTATTATTATTACCCAAATCACGGGAAAATAATCAGATAACCAAAAATTGGAGATTTTGGTCATCTGACCCAGGCCTACCCAGGCCTTCCCCTCTTTTAAAAATTATGATTATATTTGATATGACTGTAATAATAAGAGCATTGAGGACATACAGGTGAGTAATGGCGAGTTCGAGGAGCGAGTGTACCCCAGCAAGCAGTGGGTATGTACCAAGCAGAATGGCGGACTTACTGAGGGCGACCAGATTCAGGTCTTCCTTAAACTCTTCGCTTATATTGATGGCGCTAACGACCAGAGTAAGTCTTATTATGGCTTTATTATTGTACCTACTTGATGTTATAGTAGTAGGTAGTTTAATAACTTTGTAGTTACGGTAGTTTACAGCAAAAGAATTGTGCACATTGTGTCCCTCTTTAGTAGATTTTCATTTCTCTATTACACACACGCAAATATTATATATATATATATATATATATATATATATATATATATATATATATAATATTATATATTGATGTGTTAGTTTATGTGTGTGTGTGTGTGTGTGTGTGTGTGTGTGTGTGTGTGTGTGTGTGTGTGTGTGTGTGTGTGTGTGTGTGTGTGTCGTGCCGAATAGGTAAAACTTACGATTATGGCTTAAATAACAATCCATACCCCCGGCCGGGATTGAACCCGCGGTCATAAAGTCTCAAAACTTTTGCACTCGTGTCATTACGATTTCTTGAGTCAAGTTAAATAACAATGTTCTCCTTGCCGAATAAGGCAAGCTGAAATTTGTGTATGCAATAATTTCGCAAAAAATCATTCTGAACCTAACAAAAATATATATTTCATTGTTTTATTATTAAATTATTGTAAACTTATCTAAAATATATTTGGTGGCATTAGGCTAAATTAAATTGCGCTTGTTTTAATAAGGTCAGGTAAGTTTCCTAAGGTTCTTTTGGTACAAAATTATTAATTTTTACGTTAACATAAATGAAAATTATTATTATTATAATCAAAAAGAAGCGCTAAGCCACAAGGAACTTAAATGAAAAAAACAAAAAAAACAAAAAAAAAAAATATATATATAATATATATATTATATATATATATATATATATATATATATATATCTTTTAACGTATAAAAGAAAATTTTAGAAAGGATTTAATTTTAAACGAATTCTTGCTACTTTACCAATTTTACCTATTGGGCACGACATAACGACCATTATATATTAATATAATCAAGAAGAAGCGCTAAACCTCCCTTATGTATTAAACAGTTGACATAACGTCCCCACAGATAAAGAGTTAGTGATGGGGCTGCCGGTGTCTATAGAGTACAGTGATGTTGAAGGTCAGAAGGTGTACACTGCTTGTTTCTTTATTCCTGAGGCTGACCAAGCTGCTCCTCCTGCACCTACTAACTCCCAGGTCTTCCTCACTACCCGCCCACAGATGACCGTCCTTACCAGGTAAGTAGATACCATTAATGATTCAACAATTATAATATTATTATTATTATAATCAAAAAGAAGCGCTAAGCCACAAGGGCTATACAGCGCAACAATTATAATAACTAAGCGCTAAACCCAGTTAATGACTGAAGAATTATTATAATCATAATTAAGCGGTAAATTATTAAAATCAAGGGAAGCGCTAAATTAAGCGTTAACTCAGTTAATGGCCGAAGAATTAGACACTTCTGTGAAATATTTTGGAAGCTTTATCGTTGGAGTTTCAACTCTTCAGTCCAGTACAGAGATGAGAAGGCATTTAAGGTCCCGTGGTCTGGCTGGCAAAGCTCTCGCTTCACGCGCGGAGGGTCCGGGTTCGATTCCTGGCGGGGTGGAAACATTTTGACGCGTTTCCTTACACCTGTTGTCCTGTTCACCTAGCAGCAAATAGGTACCTGGGTGTTAGTCGACTAGTGTGGGTCGCATCCTGGGGGACATTATTATTATTATAATTAAGGGGGAAGCGCTAAACCCGGAGGATTATACAGCGCCTGGGGGGGGGGGATGTGGAAGGCATTCAGGCTTAATTCGGGGAACTGGAGCACAGATCCAATTCCCTAAATCAAGAGCCCCTCACCAACATCAAGGAACCTTCCTTGAGGGGCCATCCTGGGGGACAAGATTGTGAGGATCCCAATGGAAATCAGACAGACAGTCCTGGATGACGCACTGCCTTTCTTGGGTTATCCTGGGTGGCTAACCCTGCGGGGTTAAAAATCCGAACGAAATCTTATCAGTCCCTCGGCCTTGAGTCGACGTAATCAGTTCATCAATCTTGAAAAGAACACAGCATATGTGGGAAGGGACTTACAAGCTGCAGTTCATTATATTGACTCCAGGCTGAGGGACTGATTACCTCAAACTCCTTCTGATCTTCATTCTTTTTTGTATTGAACTGACGAAGCCACTGTGGCGAAACGTTTCCACAATAAAGATACCAAAGTGCGGGGAACGCTAAACCCGTACACACGTGTCTGATACAGAGGTACACAGAGGTACATAATTGGTCCAGGGACTGGACTCCAAAGTTTTGATAGCTGAGCAAGTTACAGAGGTAATGAACTCACAATTTACAAAGGTAATGAACTCACAATTTACAAAGGTAATGAACTCACAATTTACAAAGGTAATGAACTCCAGGTAAGTCTGGTCACAATCATGACAAGTTACAAAGGTATTTACAGATTACAGAGGTACGTAATGGGTCCAGGGACTGGGCCCCCAAAGTTTTGATAGCTGAACTAGGTACAAAGGTAATGAGCTCACAAGTTACAAAGGTAATGAATTCTGTAGAATGGTTACTTACGTTTATACTTTGGCTACAATCATGAACAAATTATAGAGTAATGAGCAATTCACACTTCCACACCCGGTCACAACTGTAATGAGTTATTGGTGCAAATATTGATTGTTGAGTCACACACACACACACACACACACCACACACACACACTTTAGTTTAATATCTTTATGCACCCCATACCCATCCTGTGGGCGGTAGTCAAAAGATTACAAAGGTACATAATGGGTCCAGTGACTGGACCCCAAAGTTATGATAGCTGAACTAGTTACAAAGGTAATGAACTCCAGGTAGATCTGGTCACTAATCATGGCAAGTTACAGAGGTAATGAGTCAGCTTCACTCCTATACATGGTTACAGTCATGAACAAATTACAAAGTAATGAACCACTGATACGTCCACACCTGGTCACAATTGTAATGAGTTGTGTCTGATAAAGACACCAAATTAAACATGTCTAATTTATCAACTTGTCGGTTCTCTGAACCATTATATAGTTAATGTGTAGTCCAGCAATCACATTATAATCATGGGGAGCGCTAAACCCGTAGGATTATACAGTGCATTTGGGGGGAATTGAAGGTCTTCAGGCTCAATTCAGGGAACTAGAAAAACAGATCCAATTCCCTAGATCAAGAGCCCCTCACTAGCATCAAGGAACCTCCCTTGAGGGGCCAACAATCATAATGGACTGAACAGATCAACCTTCAGGTTTAGCGCCTTTCACTAAATATAGCACTCAAAATAATATACATTTCAACAGGCAATTCGGTGGGTACGCAAATGATGAACCTACCTGGATGACCGAGGTTCAGGCACTGACAAAGCTGGTCAACGAGGCAGGTTACCAGGTCAACCCCAACCTCATCTACTGGTAAGTACTTGGGAATTATTCCAATAGCCAATTTTTTTTTTTTTTTTAAGTAGTGGAGTGGTAAGCCAGTGGAAGGCCTCTGTTAGATGACCAAAAGCTCCAGCAGCAGGTCATCATATGACAAAGACCCGCGTCAGGAAACACTTGTCCTGTTTCTTGGTAAGCCTTACCTAACCTACAGTCAAATTATTATTATAATCAAAAAGACTCACTAAGCCACAAGGACTATACAGCTCCTACAGTCAAAACTGAGCACGAAACCCACAAGGGTCATACAGCGCTGTCAGGCAGGATGCATAATACGAACTGAGAGACCAGCGAAGGTTAGAAGTGTGTAACATTATAATAGCTCTATTATAATCATGGGTGAGCGCTAAACCCGTAGGATTATGCAGGGCTTTTGGGGGGGATGTGGAAGGTATTCAGGCTTAGTGGGCCGCGCTAAAGGGAAAAATATAATCAAAGTTGGTGTAATAAAGCTGTGGCTGACGAAGTCAGAGGAGAAATAAAGTATACTTGGTAAGAGAGAGGTCTGGTAAACACTCTCGCCTCACACTGTCTGTGGTTCAATCCTCGGACGAGTAGAAACATTGGGCATGTTTCCTTACACCTGCTGTTCCTGTTCACCTAGCAGTAAGTTGGTACCTGTGTGTTAGTCGACAGGTGTGGGTGGCATCCTGGGGGACAAAATTAAAGGACCACAATGGTTATTATAATAAAAAAGCTCTAAACCTACAAGGGTCATACAGCGCCGCCGGGCAGGGGTATTGGGTAGCAAGAGGGAGAGGGATGATTAGGTCATGGAATTATTATAATTAAGGGGGAAGCGCTAAACCCGGAGGATTATACAGCACCTGGGGGGAATATTAGGTCATGGAGTACAGCGGGTCAGTGGATAGTGCAGGGGTAGAGACCACAGTGGTTATAAATAAGTCCTCGATGACGCACTAACTCCTGGGTGGCTAACCCTCCCGAGTTAAAAATCCCGAAATCTTAAGTGCTAAACCCACAAGGTTCATTACTAGTCATGGGGAGAGCTAAACCCGTAGGGACTATACAGCACCTGTGAGGGGGGGGGGGGAAGGTATTCAGGCTTATTAATTCAGGGACCCGAAGCCCAGACCCAATTCCTATTATAAAAAAAAAGCGCTAAGCCACAAGCGCTATACAGCACCCAATTCCCTAGATCAAGAGCCCCTCACCAGTATCAAGGAACCTCTCAGGTGTTTGGGAAATCAAGGGGAAAGCGCTAAACCCGGAGGATTATACAGCGCCTGGGGGGGGGGATGTGGAAGGCATTCAGGCTTAATTGGGGAACTGGAGCAGATCCAATTCCCTAAATCAAGAGCCCCTCGCCAACATCAAGGAACCTTCCTTGAGGGGAGTTTGGGAAAGGGACCAGTAGCCCTGTTCCTCCTTTCCTGTTTTTATTTTTTTTTATAAACGCACTGGCCGTCTCCCACCGAGGCAGGGTGACCTAAAAAAAATCTTTTTACATTTAGCAATGCATACAGAAGAGTTTACTAGCTCATTGTTCCCGGCATTTTAGTCTTCTCTTACGCATGGCTTACGAAGTTAGAATTCCTTTCCACTCCCAATTTATTGCCATTATGATCAAAACAGAGCGCTAAACCTTGTCAGCATTAACTATCTCATCTTACGTTCTTTCTTGCAGGAACGCCTATGATCCTCCGTACAAGTTCTGGGGCAGGAGGAACGAGGTGTGGCTCTTGAAACAGTAAGACTTGATTCTTGTACTGGCTGCATCAAGATGATCAAGACTTCCTCGATCCTATTATTTTTATTACAATCAAAATTTAGCGCGAAACCCACGATGGTCATCGTCATAAAATCAAATTTAGCACAAGTCATCGTTTTAAAGATGCTTTTAGTAAATAATGCAAAACTAAATAACACTGTTTGCTCTATCATTTTTATATTTAAAAAATAAACAATTTCTTGTCCCTACAATTATCATAACTGAGCACTAAACCCATAAGGGTCATACAGCACTGCAGGATAAGGTGTGCTAGTTTTAATGCACTTCATCAGAAACTATCAAGGGTGGAGAGTGTAACAGATGTAGAGTTAGTAAATTCGGTGAGGAGTGCTAAAGGAAGCATAATCAAAGTTTGTGTAATAAATCTGTTGCTGTCAAGAAGTAAAAGAGGGAGTCTGCCAAAGGTGGAGCCTTCGGCGAGGAGGACAGATGAAGTGTTAGAGCGGTGACAACGTCGGAGGTAAATTCTACGTACTCGACAATAAACAGGACAGTTCAAAAGAATGTGGCAAATTGAAATTGGAACCTGACAATTCTCAGTGGAACTGGAAGCCTCTCCCAGAGTTACCCATGAGTAACACATGCCCTTCTTGTGAAGACAATAAGACCAAAATCCTAAACACCGTTTGAATGTTATGAATCACCTTGGATCAACATTGTTGCCAAGGTGGTTTGAGATTACAGCAAAATAGTCAAAAACTGTTGACCGTGCAGCAGTCTGCCAGCTCATTACCCTGAAGATCAACATGACCAGGGACCCAGGAGGAAACAACATCTTTGTTTTTGCTAGAAATGCAGCGCAACCAAAATTGTATATAAACTAAGGGGTGAGGCGAATTAACCTGCAGAGCACTCGAGTCAAATTACCACAAATGTCGAGGTAGGCATGAATGCAATACATATAATCTCTATGAGAATTACACAGTTCAGCTGTGAAAATGCTAGCAGTCTAATTAAAGTGCCCTCGCACAAAACTGTCCGGGAACACTGCTGCAAATCTAACACCATCAGAGAATTCAGAACCACCAGTTTCAGCTTCAATGGTATGAGAATGAGAAAGTGGTTAAGAAAAGTAAGAAGCAACTGTAGGTATTTCAGCTTTTGTGCACAGCAGCTGGGGAAAAACAAGACTTGAATTGTCAGAATTTCTCAGGAAGAGAAAAAATAATGCTAAATGAACATATAAAGGGTGAAATTTAAGAGAAGCCAAGAGCTAGTGAAGACAAAGAGATAGTAAACGGACGGCAATCAAATATGTACCTCTACTAATATCCGTCACCATCCGGTATGTAGAATAATAAAAACTAAGCACTAAACCCACAAGGGTCATACAACCGTATGTAGAAGGATCATGAGAGCAGACAAAATATCAACCAATTGTTCAAAGATGGAACATTCGCCTCTGCATATAGGCTCTTGACGGGAGGAACGAAAAACACCTATATAAAAATGATCCCTGATGATGAATGGGATCAAGTTTAGTTACAGGAGGCATTAAGGCACCTACCTTAAGGGTTTGGGAAGATGAGAAAAAAGGGATGCCCAGATATGCACATACAGTATTTACGTTTGATCAAAGGTTGGTACACACTGTCATTAGCTCCTTGGATCCCGACCCAATAACCCATGTGGTTATATATTCTTACCACTGAATATACTATGCAGTACCTTATCCTGTCTCCTACATCACTGCCTCTGATGAGAGTCTGCTACCTATCATTTCATCATCCTTATTCGCATTTCATATTACAAAAAAAAAAAAAAAAAAAAAGGGGGGGGGGGGGGATTGAATAAAACCATTTTTTCACCAATCCATTTATTCTGATGCACCACTACTTTTAACAACACAGTGTATACTAGGGTAAGGCAGAGGTGGTGACAGCTTTTGGGCCAGTGACCTTTCTCCCTCCCCTACAAAGCATTCAAAATGGTCAACAATTAAAATTATTTTTGTGGGCCTTAATAAAATCCCAACACAATGGGATCATAACTTTAAACAGTTTAATACTGCATACTAATGTGAATCTCTTACATCCCTCCCAACCTCAACCCAAATTCCCCACTTATTTTAGAGCAGTGATTCCCTGAGCACAAAATTATTATTCATCAAGTTTTGGTCACTTGTAGTGCCACATGAGCTGCTGCCCCACCTCCAACTCCCTCACCACAGCAATAGGAAAGGTGACATGGCTGGTTTACACCTTTATGACTTGGATCCTCCCACATCCCTTGCAACTTATTCCTTTATATTAAAAATTTAAATGATCTGCATATGTGAAAATTTCTTTGATTTAACATACAGGAAGACATCACAGTGAACTATTTATAAGATTCATAGAAATCAGCCAAATAAAAAATTTGGAAAATTACAATTTAATAACGGCATATATATACAAATACAGAACAAAATTCTATGAAAGAAAAAAAAAAAACATGGGAGAAACCTTTGCTAAGTCACTCTGCACCTTTGCACCTCTACAATTAACCCAGGTGTCCTTCTTATAATACATTATTAAAAAAAATAAGCAAAGATTATTGTGCAAGGGGTCACCAAACATCACAACAGAGGTTTACCGCATCAGTAACGCTGCCAAGAAGTCTAATGGAATTCTTAGAGTACAAACAAAGCTACTTGGATTCTAATTGCATTCTAAGGTATTTATTATAAAAAAGAGATAACAATGTTTCCTTACAGACTGTTGCTCCAAATCTTAAGACACAAAAACTCACAACTGTAAAAAGCACTGAAAATCTTATTAGAATGTTGTGGAAATTTTATGTATGAATGTGAACTATTTCAACAAGACACTACAAATGATACACTACCATACTTCACATACTAAGGCTGAGTTGATGGCTAACAATAAATACTAGAATATAACTACTGAAATAAAAATCTTATGAATACACTGTCAAAAGCCCTAACATAGTGAGAATAAGCAGAAACAGAAGAGTTAAAAAAAAAAAGGATACATGTACATGTGTAAAAAAAGGTGACAGAACATGCCAAGTAATACCAACAAAAAATATATCTTCCTATGTACAATATATTACAAATTCATAATGAATTAATGTGTATGGCAACAAGGTATTCTTCTCAAAGGTGCACAATAATCACACAGTATGCTATTACAGCCAATAACCACCAACAAAGCCCTATCCAGAGAATCCTACCATTCAAGCCTAAATTTGTGCAAAGATCATATCACAATGGATTTACAAATTAGGATTTACATCTATCACAGCAAAAAACCAACAATTTGTACAAGAAAACATCCTTGGGCAGACAACAAACTTCAAATGGTGACCCACATGCAAATGAAAACATTATAAAAGACCATAATTCATATGATCAACAGGCATGCTAGTTAACTTTGGGGCTAAGTGCTTGAGGGGCTTTCTGTTCTACTCAATCAAAATTAATAATTAAAATGTCATTAAAAACTGATTAACAACAATATTTGTACTAGAACATCAGCAAATGAGCAAAATATAAGATAAAATTAACCTAACACCTAATAACATCTCTGAAATAAAAATAGATTAAGATTGTCCCTAACATATTAATGACTAGTTAAAACCCTAACTATTAAACTCTTTATCACTGAGCATGATCAGAAACTAAGAAGAGGACCCGCATTATAATAAATTCGTAAAATACGAATTTGTCGAGAAAAATCAGTCATCCAAAGATACAGCTGTCATTCATACACCCTCCATCCACTCCTTAAAGAGTGAATAATAAATTAAATAAAATAAATTGTACAATGTCATTAGCAAAGTCGGTTCTTCAATTTCACTCGTCTACTTTCACAAGACAAATGAAATCAAATCAAGAGCTGAAATTGCTAATGTTACTGTGCATTGAGCACCCACCCGGCTCCTAACTTTTACCTAGCCATACTCAAGTCTGACCACTCCATCCCTCCCAACTCCTACCTCCTATCCTGAACCTATCTGCAATATTTAGACTTATGAGTCTCCAGTGTCAGCAGCGCTTCAACCTAACAATTTACCTAGCAGCTAGTTACGAAGAGCCATGACACGAAGAACGACTTCCTAACTGCCAAATGACATGATATTCAGCCTAGCAAATTTTCCTATCCTCTCACATAAGTCATTTGACTGGGCCTATCACATAAATGAGAATCATATTGCAAGATGATATAAATGGATAGAAATTTCCTCCTTATTGCAACAAACACCTCCATCTCTCATCCAAGATAAACAACGTTATCTCTTCAAACTGTCGTTTCAATACCAACCTGACCTTACTTATCCCTCAAGCCTTAACCCCAAACCAGACATAAGATGCATAGGTGTGTGTGACATGATGACTGAATGGTGCATTACAGATGGAATTCTTTGTTAGTAAATGCTGATTTTAAATCTACTCAGGGCATTAACATCTGAAACAGTGGTTTGGCCCTTCTGACTAACCAGCCAATGTCAGTTTTTAGTTAATGGCGCAACTATCAACACTGGCATGCAATGTGTTCACAGAGAGCGAACAAATAAACAAATTGACTGTCAGGGGAATATTCCAACTTTAAGGCACAGTCTAGGACAAAACAGACAGCTTCAAAAAGGGTGACAAACTTCATCCTTATTACCAATCTAAAGATCATACCAAAATAATGCTCAAAAACCATGGCAGCTACAGTATAGGCAGCCAAGATGGGAAGAGAATTTATTTGTTTTCCCTATCTTAAGGAAATCAGATTGTTAGAAGGTTGTATTTTGTTTTTTGTCTTTTTTTTTTTAATTTTGGGCAGCTAGAAATGGGCAAGACTGGGGCTACACCAAGACCATATTATATACTAAATGGTTATGCATCTTGTTGATACTCCACTGAGGGTGCCATGTCTGTGCTGTCTAGCATGTTGCTCTGGGAGTCAGCTTTGACAACACATAAGCACTGACACCTAGGGGCTTGTATGGAAAAGCCAAATTCATCCTCAAACAGTAGGCCAAAACCATCAATTACCATCAAACAAAATCATACCAGGAAAAAAAAGGGGGGGGGAAGAGGAGGGGAGGAAGAGGAGGGGGGGAAAGAGGAGTGGGGGAAAGAGGAGTGGGGGAAAGAGGAGTGGGGGAAAGAGGAGTGGGGGAAAGAGGAGTGGGGGAAAGAAGAGTGGGGGAAAGAGGAGTGGGGGAAAGAAGAGTGGGGGAAAGAAGAGTGGGGGAAAGAGGAGTGGGGGAAAGAGGAGTGGGGGAAGAGGGGGATGATTAGCATAATGTTACCAATTCTGTGGGAATTGAAGATGTGGGAATTGGAGGGGTGGAAAACATGAGGCAGGAGTATGGCAGGGTGGAGAAACATGGAAGAGGAAGGGTATGAGAGCGCGTGAGCAGAAGTGTGTAATGGGATGGGGAGGAGGGGGTTATTACTATCTCAAGACCCATTATTATCTGCATCTTTCCCAAAGCTCATGCTTAGTGTTTTCTTGTGCGTGTTCCGTATTTGCTTGTATCATTACCATTCAGGTCATCTTGTTCTCATTACTCTACTGAAACACTCATCCTTCAAGAATAAATAACAAAAGGCACTATACTATGACAAAATACACAAATTATCAAAACGTTTTGGTCTGACTTGGACTTGAGACAGTGTGACTTTGTAAATGGTCCAAGTCGCACCGAAACATCGCCATAAGCTCCTCTCTTTCTATGTACAGGCTATTTGTGTATTCATCCTTCAAGAAATAGGCAATGCCCCACAATACTTTTGTTTTTTTGTCATGATTATATCTCTAGAGAGGGAGGGTGCTTGTATGGGTGGAGTGTGAATGAAGCAATGTATGTGAATAGGGGCAATGTATGTGAATAGGGGCAATGTATGTGAATAGGGGCATTGTATGTGAATAGGGGCATTATGTGAATAGGGGCATTCTGTGAATGGGGGCATTATGTGAATGGGGGCATTATGTGAATGGGGGCATTATGTGAATGGGGGCATTATGTGAATGGGACAGTGTTAATGAGGGGAATTGTGGTTTAGGAAAATATTACTGGGAAACAAGGTAAACCTCTTAACTTTGTCATCAAAATATTGAAGGGATCTGAATGTGTTTCTAGTTTGTTGTAGAATGGCCAATTCTAAGACCTTTTGACTCTTGTGACTTTTACTATTACATTTACTTTTACTTTTTAGGAATTCTGGAAAGCGAGTCCAAACAGTCATTATTTGTACTTACGAACGATAAGAGGCTCCCAGGTCTAGAACTACAATGCTTCACAGCTTGACTCCTCACTCTGATTTGTTACTCTAGGATGACCAACTGCTCTAATGACTCACTGCAATCTTTATTTCCTGTGCATTGATTAAGCTTTACAAAGGCTCAAAGTAAGCTTAAAAACATACCCTGTTTAGGGTAGAGGAATGCTAGTGTTAAATGATGTGAAATGTGTAAATGGCTAAAGAATGTGAATGTGGGGAAAAATGCACAACCAGGAAAAATTGTATTTCGATTTTAATCAAAAAGAAGTGCTAAGTCAGAAGGTCATAAAGCACTTGGGGAATGAGAGGCATTCATGTTTGATGCAAGGAAGGGGAAAAGTCAAGTTCCTTTGGATCAAGAGCCCCCTCATCTGCATCAAGGTACCCTTGAGGGTAAAGAATGTGTGAATGGGTGAAGACCATGGAACTAGAGGAGAGGGGGAAGATGGGGTGAAGAGGAGGAGGGGGGAGATGGGTGAAGGGGAGAAGAGGGGAGTTGGGTGAAGGGGAGGAGAGGGGAGTTGGGTGAAGGGGAGGAGAGGGGAGTTGGGTGAAGGGGAGGAGAGGGGAGTTGGGTGAAGGGGAGGAAAGGGGAGTTGGGTGAAGGGGAGGAGAGGGGAGTTGGGTGAAGGGGAGGAGAGGGGAGTTGGGTGAAGGGGAGGAGAGGGGAGTTGGGTGAAGGGGAGGAGAGGGGAGTTGGGTGAAGGGGAGGAGAGGGGAGATGGGTGAAAGAGGAGAGGGGGGATGGGTGAAGGGGAGAAGGGGGAAGATGGGTGAAGGGGTATATATGTGAGAGAAATGGAGCAAGATATGAGAAGGGAAGGGGTAGGAGGAGAAAGAGAGAGAGAGAGAGGAGTAACAATGGATGAGAGAGGAGGGTGGACAAATGGTGAGGGGTAAGACTGGGAAGAGCAGGTAAGATGGAGTTACTGAACTTTTGTTTTATGAAATTTTTACCAATTCTTCCTCTTTCAAAGTTTACATACAGTTCTTAAAGATCTTGTGCAGATGTGACTGAATGCAACTGGGGCAAATAATGGTTATAAATAATCATTTGAACATTACAACAAAAGCAGATCACTGCATATAACTTATTCTCCCATAAAACGTTCTTCGACACCTCACAAATCTCTAACATTCCTGCAGTGATCTACCTTTTATATCAATGGTTTCGTTCAATCAAAAACACACATTATTTGCCCTCGAGAGGCACTGGTATGGCCACACTTCTCAATCTGGTTGCCCAGTACCCGACTAACAAGTCACTGATACATATGCAAGTAGTAATCATAATGACATACTGAGGGCATGCAAGAAACACTGCAAATAACAACACTACTGACAATATTGTGTCTACAGATACACCAAACAAACTGCTACCGGGGTTACTGCTGACAGTTAGAGTACTGTGTTCTGAGCTTCCTACAATCCAAATACAGTTGGATTCGCCTACAAAAAAAAAAAAAAAAAAAAAAAAAAAAAAAAAAAAAAAGAAAAAGTATATATGATATATAAACTAATTTGTAATCTAACTGCCAAAGTAACCCCTACAGAATTTATTAATTTTCTTTAAAATGGTGAACCCAGAAACTTTTAAGATGCCCCAAACAATTTTTATTTTCATCTGCCCCCGATGGATCCCTCTATTAAAATAAAGATGAAAATTATACTGTATATAAAAAATATAAAAAAAAATGAAATAAAAATGCCCCATTAGTAGCCCATAGCCTATACAGTTTCATATTTTTTAAAATATACAGTATCTTGTTCAGCCCCCGAAACAAGAACCAAAGAGTTTTGAGTGTATACAAAGTTGATATGTATATCTCTGGAAGGTGACATGTGTAAACATGGTCTCTAGAATGCACTGAGCTTTTATCACTCTTTGGCTCTTAAACCTACAAATTTTGCTTTGTGTTTGGTTTAAGTTTGTGGAACCCCAAACCCCTCCTACAATAAATGAAGCTAATGTCCCCCTTTCTATCAATAATACTAATATTTTCTCCCACAACATGCCCCACTCATAAACATCATTTCATTAGTTTAACATCTATTGCACAGCATGTATCCCTCTTATCAATGATTCAAATGTAAAAGTCTTTCAGAGAAAAAAATGTGATATTTAACTTACTTTGCATAACAGTACAAAAATCAAAGAAATCACTATGATCACAGTCGTTTCCATTAAGTCCTATGTGTGCACTGAAAAAACAAATTGTGGTTTATCCTACAGCAACACAATCCCTGTAAGGGCAAGTGAAAGTGTTTATAGCACTGTCAAAAACTGCAAGTGACTTTACTAAGAAACTTGACTGGTGATATGTACCCTTGGGCTTGATTCTACTGCTGAAGGTTAAACCATTAAGGCACAGTATAGCTACCAGCCTGAGCACCACCACTCACTACCAAAGCTTCATGTAACTATAATTGACTTCACACTAAACATCAGAATGACTCATTACAGTGTATTATACACAAGAACAAGAAGTCTTCACTGAGATATCATTTACTTGTATCACTAGTCTATCTCTTATTGGATAATCTACACTTAACTGATCATCTGTTTTTCAAACAGATGCCAAAACAAAATCAAAGTAGCACCATATTAGGGTAGTGTTTAGGTTGTCCAACACACGCAACAGTAGCGTCAGGCTGGTAGAATTACTGCTGAGAGGCACACGCTACATCAAACTCCCTCTATCACTCCTGCCACAGATCCTGCAGGTGGAATCTTGCCCACACTGCTGATGAAAAAAAAAAAGGCAATAATACATGACCTAACCAACAATGACTTGTGAGAAAATATGGTCATGGATACCATGATTGGCACAAGGACAGACTTATTACAATAAGTGATCATGTAGAAAATAAAAGTTTCCATGTATTTACATATCTTACATAATACAAACCATCACTACCTACGCATGAGGTTATGTAAGGTATGTGGCAGGAGTGCACAGAATGAGTCAAGCAGCCTATACATGTTACACCCACACAGCTGCCCACGCCCTTGACCAGGTATGGTTGAGGCAGTGCACAGGAGGTGGGTGGACGTTGATGTTCTGTGCTGGGGACTAAGCCTCCCACCCAGAGTCCCTCCCACCAGGGGCTGACCACCCCCCTCCCTCCGCGTCCCTCCCACCCAGTCCGCGAAGTCCCTCCCTCGACAATGCGCGCGGCAGCCACCTCAAGCTAGCCCTTGCTTCTTAGCACTGGCTGAACCTGCCTTCTAGTTCTTCAGGTATTGATCTGCATTCCACAGCCAACCAACACCTCTATGACAGGTAGGCTAGCAAGCTGAGGAGAGTGGCTGAGAGAAGAAGTAAATCCCTCCCCCCACCCAGGCACACAGGGTCCAACCACATGGGACACCAGGGCCTCCTAACTGCATACGGCACAGAGCTCGGCCAGGACTAAATTCTCTCACCCTGGGCTCTGATCATGATACAACAGCAGCATCACCTGTGGAATAAGCAAAGCAATAGTTATTACTTATTTTTGATGCAGTTTTTTTAATTCATTACAAGTTAAATTTGACCATAACAATAAAACTATAAGGTTCTACTATTTTTTTTACATGAATGCTGACATTAGCCAAGAAATTTTACATTAAGAAATGCCCTCCTTGATCCCATGTAAATCGAACTAAGATCAACCCTAAGAAGTGTGAACTCCACATACTGATACCAACCAAGAAAATATTTGATGTTGTTCTCAAAACATACAAGTGGTGTAATTTGTTTGTTAAAGTCTACAGCTATTTTATTAACTTCTATGCTTTACATTATTCTTATTTTAAAACAAACTGGCCATCTTCCATGAGAGTAATGCATTTTTTTCTTTTTCTGGGTCATCCTACCATGGTGACAGATGGCAGGTGTCAAAACACCAATGGTATTACACTGAAGTTATTCAACATCAATGTCATAAATCCTAGTGTTGGTGTTATCTCTTGACCCCTTGAGGGTCCGTGCCATAGATCAACGGCTTTACGTTGAGGGTCCAAACCGCAGATCTACGTCATGAGCTCGGCTCACTCTAATAAGCTGTGAGCGGTAAATTTGGGCCTATTATTATTATTATAATCAAAAAGAAGCGCTAAGCCACAAGGACTATACAGCGCTGCAGGGCAGGAAGGAAGCGAGGGCATCAGGTGGCAAAAGGGAGATGGACGAGTAATAGGTTACGGATAACAGCGGGGTAGTGGATGGTGAAAGGGTAAAGGGCAGCAAGAGACTGAACTAGAAAGGGCTGAAGGGAGTGCGAAAAGTATCATCAGAGTTTGTGGAGTAAATCAGTCGTTGTCAAGAAGTCAATGAGAGAGTCAGGATTAAAGGAGGGTCCATCTGCAAGAAGGGAAGGTAAAGAGAGAGTAGTAGAACGAAGACGACGTTGGAGGTAAATTCTGCGTGCTCGTTGATAGAGAGGGCAGTCTAACAGAATGTGACTAATCGATACTGGAACTTGACACTGCTCACAGAGAGGAACAGGGTGCCTCTCCATGAGATACCCATGAGTAAGACGAGTGTGACCAATGCGAAGGTGGGAGAGAGTGGTCCCCCCAACCTCGGTATGATGACAAGAAGGGGCCGAAAAACCTATGCCGGTTTAATAGAATGAAGTTTGTTCCGAGCAGAGTTGACCAACGTTGTTGCCAAGGGTGCGAAGGGGGGTAGCTATTGCGCAAAAAACAGTGCCCCCGGGGGTTTTTTAACGTTTTTTTTCACTCCGGGAAGTAGTTCAGGTGCAGTACTGACCGAATTTTTTCCCATAAAAAAATTTTTTGAAGTAGTTTAGTCCATTTAGAACCCCAAAACATAACGTAAAAACGCACTTACAAAATTTTACACTTACATAATTGGGTCGCATTCGGAGGGAATCGTTATGCGGGGGTCCACTGTGTCCAGAAATGGAAAACACCTCGTGGGAAAAATTGGTAGGTCATGTACTGTGCCCGCGCAGCAGTGTCTGCCTGTTCTTTCCCCTGTGTCGACGCCGGGGGCCCAAAAACCAAAAAAACAATATTTTTAGTTTGGTGGAGTAGGCGTACCCAAAGTTGGATAGGGGGAAAACTGGGGTGGATGTATAAAATTTTCGTTACCCTGTAGAGCACTAAGGGGTCTGGATACTACAAATGATGACACAGGCATAATGCGATACGAATAAGTCGTAAGAATGGCACACAGTTCAGCAGAAAAAAATGCTAGCCGAAGATAGAAATGTCCCCCCCCGACGCTGCCCGGAAAATGTGCGAATCGACCCGTTAAAGACTTAGGCCATCTGGTACACAGCTGTGGCATGGAATGGGAGTGGAAAGTGATAAAGAAAAAGAGCGGGGGGAAGCCCCCGTAGGCAATTGAGCTTTCGAGAGGGAGTGAAAAAAAAAACAGACCAAACAGCTGGAACTTCCCGGGGGGGGGTGGGGGAAAAAAGTGAAATGCTACATAAACATATAAAGGGGGAAAAACTAAAGGGGAAAGACAAGAGTAAATGTAGGCAAAGAGAAAAGGGACGGAGAAAAACAGGGGCGGCGAACAAAATAAAGAATGTCTACTAATATCGGTGACCTTTATAAATGGAAGGATTGTGTAGTCGTGGAGAGCGAAATAGTAGCGAAGGCAATGGGCATCACGGAGATCGCAAGGATGGAAATTCGCTTCTGTATAGGGGCTTAAAAGGGGAAGAGCGAAAAAGCACAAGGCACAAACGTAATCCTTTGGTGTGGATAGGTTAAAGGTAGGAGGTAGCATGAGAGGCCGGGAATAAATCTGGTCACCAAAATCGAGTTTCGTTTTAAAACGAGGGCTGAATGTAGGCGAGCAGGTTGACGATCAGTCCCCAGGAAAGACGGAAAGGGTTTTAAGAAGGTTTAGGGGTGCAAGTTGCCTTCAGAGAGGAAATGTGATTTTCCAGGTTTAACCGACGTAAAAAGAGAAGGGCCCTAAAAAAACCTGACTGTATCACGTTGGGGGATAGGGGAGCCATAGGATACAAAGGATGATCGGGAAAACAGAGCGCTGTGAAAGAAATTTTGGTGGTTTTGGTACTTGAAATTTTAACCCCATGCGTGGTGGCCCAAGTGGAAACACGGTGACCCATGTGGGGGGAAAACTGCAAAAGATAAAGTCAGCCCCTGAAAAGAAATAGCGAATCATTAACATGAGTGTGCCCAAATTTTGGGGGGGGAAAAAAAAGAAACAGAGGCCAAAATCATTTTATAGCAAGGAGAAACAGTGTAGTGTTTTAGAACAAACTCCCCTTTGGGGCACCTTTCGCTGGACGAAGTCCGGGGGGGGAAAAAAGAAAACATTATTGACTCGAAAAGGTATGCCCTGTCGTTAAAAAGTTCTTAAGGAAAGGATGGTAATTGGGAGGCCGGGGTTGGGCCGGGAAAAAATTTTTAAAAATCCAAGTTGGCATAGCCTTTCCCGGCAAAAAAGGGGGGGGCCGGGGTGTTTTGGGCTTCGTGACCGCGGGGAAGGGGGGGGGCCCCTCGGGGGCGGGGGAGGGCTCAAATAAAAAAAGGGCGGGAGCGCCTCCCTTTGAAACGATGTGGGGGGGCGTGGGGGGGGCCCAAAGGGGCCCCCGGTTGGGGAAAAGGGGGGGGGCGTTTTTCTTAAAAAATTTTTTTGTCCCATGTTTTTTTTAAAATTTTTCGGGTAATTTTTTTTTTGTTTTTTGTTTTTTTTTTGGATCCCGATGTCGGCAAATGGGCGTTCCCTGTTCTTAAAGGTTAAAAGGCACATTTTTTGTTCTTCTCTGGGAAGAAAAAAGTCAAGGGTAAAAAACTCTCTGGCAGACTTTGAGGCGAAAAAAAGGGGATAGATGGAGCCCTCGGGAAAATAGGACCGTGTGTGCCAATTCAATGGCAACGTCGAGAGGGTTTGTACATCAACACCGCGACCCTAGAAAAAGGACCGGGTCAGGAGAGTTTTTACCATCAATTTCCCCCTTTTTTTCCAGACTGACCATGAAGAAGCAGAGGTGATGGTGGAAACTTAGTCTCCCCAAAAAGTGGTTTAGTTTCCGGATGACACGGCGAGCGATCCACGTTCTGGTTAAATCAAAAAGTCTCTCAGCAGTTCTTTGTCCCGGTACCTGCCCATGAGCCGTTTCAAACGTACTGCCGGAAAAGCAGGAGACCACCAAGGCACGCATTTGAGAATGCCTGTGAGGTTTGGGGTTTTAAAGATTGAGAAGCTGCGGTTTTAAAACTGACGTCAGAGATGTGTAGGGCTTCAATGGGGATGAAGAAGGGACCCCACTAAAAGCAGTGAGGTGTGGGTAAAGATCCCAATTTTCCCCATCAAATTGCCCGTGAGGGTACGGAAAAGGGGGTGAATAGGAAGGAGAAAATAAGAATGATCGAAATGTCGCTGTATGCAAGTCTGGTGAACAGACCAGGTGAAGTCTAGTGCAGTGGGGAAGAGAGACTGATAGACTGGGAAGAGGGTATGATACGAGGATCAAAATGGGTGGGAGTACCCGTTTTAAAACTGGAGGGGGTTTAGAGGGGAGAAAAGCCCCCCAACTGGTGCCACGTGAGCCAATGAGGGCCCCCCAGAGGAAATGGTGGGCATTAAAATCATCAAGTAAAAGAAGTGGTTTTGGTTTGGTAAGGATGAAACAAGAAAGGCAAGTTGGGGGTAGAAAATGTCGAGAGGAGGAGATATAAAGAACTATTGTAAAACCCCCTTATTCAAGTGGATAGGGGTGCAGTGTAATGCAGGAGGTTGGACAAAGTTGACATACAGAATATCATTGCGTAGAAGGGCACTTCATTTAAAAACCCATTGAGAAAGGATCCCAAGAATACAATAAAATTTTAGCCCGAGTAGGTGGAAAACAGCCCGAGTGTAATTTTGGTTCTTGTAAGAAGCACCAAAGGGGAAAAAACCTGGAAAGCCCCGGTATTCATGTAAATAGGGCCTGATTTGGGGAGAAGAAAATATCAGGAATCTGTAGGTAAAGGCACCTAGGATAGAGGGGTTAGAAAAGTCAAGTGCGTGGCTTGAAGCGTTCAATAGGAAGGAACGGAGCGTTGCGAAGATGGGGAGAGGGAAAAAGAAGGAACAGGAAGTGAATCAGTTCCTTGAAAGGGTTTAGTCTCTGCAATTATTCTGAAAAAGGCTTCAAATGTTTCTGAATTCAAAAATGTAGGGAGCCATATTTGGAGATAGAGGAGGAGGGTGAGTAAAAAATTGGGAAGTAATGGGGCTGACCAAAAGTAGAGGGGGGGGAAAAAATGTAAGGGATGGAGTGAAGGTGGGGGGGGAAGAAGAGGCAGAAAAATGGGAGGGGGAGAAGGGGAGAAACTGGGAGGGGAAAGGGGGGGGGGGAAGGCTAGTCGGGGAGGGGGGTGAAACTCCACATTGTAATAGAGCCAGAGAGAGGGGAAAAACTAGGTACAGAGACTGGAAAAAGGGAAAGTGTGGAGGTGGAAGAGGAAGGAAAGGGGCAAAGAGATTTTTAGCAAAGTGGTTTTTTGGATTCTAAGTAGGGGGCGTTGGGTTTTTTAGGTGGTCGAGGGCTTGTGTACTGGGGGGTTGTGAGGAAAGGGCGCGAAGATGTGAGAACAGATGAGTTGTAGTAGGAGTCAGAGCTAAGGACAGCAAAAAATTTTAGATGCCTTTGTGGTTGGGAGGGGTTTAAAAACAGAGGGGGGCGAAGATGGGAAACCCCGAAGTGGGGGGATGTTTGGAACAGAGAATAAGAAACATGGGGGGAGTTCCCCTTTGGGGGCGGAGTGGTAATGCCATAGCATAAGGGGGACCTTTTGCCTCTTTGAGGCAACGGATTTACGTTCATTTAATTTGACCTGGCAAGGCGGGAGTTTCGAAAAGGGGGAGCTTCATTACAATTAAGGAAGATGGAGGTTTTTATGCAAAATGTATTTGAATGGCGTCGGCACCCAGACTGGGAAGGCCAAGATCTGCAATTTTGCTGGGGGAACCAAAAACGCCAGCAATTTTTTCAGTTTTTCGGGTAGGGATCACCCTTTTGAAAAATTGTAACCGATGTCCCCCGGGCTATCAGGGACGGGGGGTTCTCGGCTGTCAAAAGTTTAAACGAGCCACATTGCAAGGGTAACGTCTCCGCCCCGGGCAGGAAGGGGGAAAAGTAAGTGTTCTACTTTTGGGTTTGGAGATCCTGGGTTCCGCTGTTCAAAAATTCTTGCCACATGATGGAAATTCTGTTGGACTTGGTTGGGGAGAATGACAGTTTCCACTAAAGATTAGTTTTTTCCACCGAAGTGGCAGTTTTTTGTGCCCCCATATCCTCTGTGGTGGTTTTGCGCGAGAGGTTGGATAACCAAAAGGCCCAGGAACTAGGCCAAGGGTTAACAGGAATAATTGGTTTTTTTCTAAATTTTTGTTCCTTTTCTGTTACAAGCAAATTTAGGAAATTTTCCCTTGTATTTGATATTTATTTTTATTAATAAGATATCTTGACATGTCACATAGGTTATTTTCTGTCTGTTTGTATTCCCCAATAAGTGGGCAATTAAACCATAGTGTTTTAAGGGTGCCTATGCCTGATCACATAATTTACTTTAGTTTGATCATCTCTGTGTGTTCCCAAACTGCCCGAAGTACTTTTAACCGCCTAAGCCTGGCCACTACAATTGAGGAAAGATGTTTTTCAATAGTGAAGGAGTAGTATGTATTCGAAAGGAGAGAAAGATTGGCTTGGGAGCATTCTGGACAGTGACGATGCACTACCCCTCTTTAGAGCATGAAAAAAAAATTCCTCCCAAAATGATGCAGGAGCGCTTTTTCCTACTATGGTCAGAAAGGTAGGCAGAAGAAGAAGTCGGTCTTAAAGTAAAGAATTTGTCCCCTTTTTGGTCCCAAACCGAGCGTGGAGAGGGAAGTGCTTTCGTGTCGGTCTTTTTTCCCAGTGAAAAGGGAAGTAACGAAGGAGATATCGGAGATTGGTTGGCGTTTAGGAGAGGACCGGAGTTGGTCCGGCTTGAAATGGGTGGGGATTCGAAAATTGCCCCTACCCTAGGGGAGAAGCCCGGGAAAAGGGGGGATAGTCAAAGGAGAGGGAGTTCAGACAATGAAAGGGTCAGTCGAAAACCCGGGACCTGAAGCGGGTGGGGAAAAGCACCCGCAAGAGGCGGGGCATCGGGGTGTCCCAGAGTGGTCTAACACAAGGCAGGGTCAGAAAGGGGTGCGGTATCAAAAGGAAAGGGGCCCGGGGGGGGAGTGGGTTCATGGACTAGGGTGCATGGTTAGGTTATCCTTTGCTTTTTGTTTTTAAGAAAAAAAAAAGAAAAAAAAAAAAAATAAAAAAAAAAAAAAATAAAAAAAAGGGGGGAGCGGGGAGGAATAGTTCCCGGGGAATGAAAGGGCCGGAAAAACTCCCCCCGCGCCCAAGAGGACCCCAACACCCCTAGTTGCGCAGATGCAGCTGGAACCGTGTACCCCACCCTTCATGCCGTAAACCAGCAATCCGGGTAGCAACCCACATCTGCCGGCTACCTCGGGGGACAAAAAAGGGGGGGCGGCCAGATATCCCCACAAAGTACCTCCTTTGGCCCCCCCCCGAATCCGAAAGGTGGCTTCCGGAATACACCCGTCGCCTAAAAGACACCCAAAGTTATCGGAATACCGGGGGAGGGACGGGAATCCCAGGCTCCAGATTCCAGGCAAACTACGCCACCGCAAGAACCTAAAGGAATGGGGTGGACCCGGGTCCTTTCCCCTACCCAGGAACTAGCGCGCCTGGGGAGAAATCCCAAAGGCCAAAAAGAGGAAAAAGCCCAAAAGGGGGGGGGGGTGAGGAGGGGGGGGAGGAGGGGAGGAGGGGAGGAGGAGGAGGGGAAGGGGGAAAAAAAAAAAAGGGGGGGGGGATGGGGGGGGGAGGGGAGATGGGGGGGGTTTAGGGTTTGGTTGAGGAAGAAGACCGACAGGGCTAATTCCTCAGCCAAGAGGGCCCCTTCACCAGCCAAAGGGCCCCCCCTTTAAAAGGAAAAATTGGGCCTAGATATGGGAGAATACCTTTTTGGTTGGTGCCCACATAAAAAAATCCTGCAGCACACGTGCATAATGGAAAAAACGAGACTAATTTTCGATTAAAACAGCAACTTTGCAGTGTTTTTTCGTATATTTTTTATAGGGGTATTTGCGATTTCTTGGTCTCGTTTGATAGAATGGAAGATAAGTTACAGAAATAGAGATGATTTTGATTGGTTTTAGTACTGAAAATGGCTTGAAACTGAGCTGAAAGTAGCAGAAATGTTAAATTTTTGCCAGTGTTCAAGAGTAAACAAATGACCTCACACGTCTAATACACGCCAGCTGGTGCATCTAATATTCATTCACAAATGTGCTGATATTTTTTATACAATTATTACAATATTGCATGAGAGTAAATCTTCCACTTTTTGGTTTGAAGAAAAATTCATTATGTGAATTAAACATGAAAATGGAATTAATTTGTAAAGCCTGAAAACGTAACTAATGAACAGAGGAAATGTTAGTTAAGTGCCAGGAATGCCTGCATTGTTTATTCTGGACCCTATTTTGAAATTGGAATATTTTGAACTTTGCACTAAAATGGCCAAATTACCAATTTCCAATCACTATTTTGTACTTGAAACAGTTGAGTTGGCGATTTCTTGTGCTCAATCGATAGAATAGAAGTAATACTAGTGAAATAGCTAAGAATTTGGTCGACTGGAATAATGTAATTGGCCTAAAATGGGAGTCAAAGTCGGCAAAATCGCCAATGCGTAAATATCGCAGACATATCAAAATTTGCGAGAGCATAATTTCGTCAATTTTCCTCAAATTTCGTACTTTTTGTTTTATTACCTTCAGAAAAAGATTCTCTACCATTTTATAAGAAAAATAAAATTATTTTTTGAAAATTCTTGGACACTGGTGTGCACTTTGAAATTTGGCCTTTGGACCCTGAAAGGGTTAACACTTCACTGAAAATGGGGCAAATATTTTCCATATTGGAAACTTCAAGGATTAAGTTAATGTACATAATAATTAGGCTAGGTTCCGTAACCCTGCCATCCCATCACCCACCTGCTCACACTCCATAATGCTGAGTAAGACGTTCTTTCAATGGAGGAGGAAACTGCTCTGTGAAGCGCTTCCAGTTCTCCTCACCAACCTGTTCTTTAAAGCAGTGTAGAATCTGAGGAACGACAACAATGTTTATACAGAGGGACGGAGGTATATATTATCTTTTTTTCTTCAATCTGCACCATACGAGTAGAAAAATGGTGTACAGTGATTCCCTGCCAACCCCAGGAAGGCCACAGAGTAATTCTGACTTTACAATAGTTTTGAATCATTGTGAATTTTCTCAGTGGTGCCATAAATTACAATGCCTTTTTTTTTAGGTTAAAAAGGGTCTTCATGCTCAAATGTTAAGAACCACCAGAGTAGAACAACTAATGTAGGCCTCACTGAAAATAATTAAAGGGTTTTTGAATTGAGAATGTTACTGAATTAAACTCTACAGATTTTCCGTGTACAAATTATGCAAACAGAAATTACAACAAAAATTTGAGTTTTTACACATACTTGAAGACAACTTTATAATATTTCTTTAAAGAGCAATACTACGCATCTATCATTTCTACAACCAAACAAACTCACTAAATGAATATATCATAATGCCATAGCTGCAATAATGCACCATTAACCCACAATTTGAAGACGCTGTTACTGTGACTAACAGTCACATTACTTAAATGATCACAAAATTTGTAAATCCATTGGCTGCAGTCCAAACTATATCCATGATTTGTTTCAAATCAAAGCCTTCAGGTTAGCAAATTTGGACAAGTGAAAATTTCAGTTACTCAGGCCAAACTGAATGGGTGCTTACTCATTCTGTGAAAACCTGCCACCATGGTACAGCAACTTAGCATGAGGTACACACACCTGCAATCAGTTTGGAGGGGTTTCATTTCTCTCCCAGCCCAGCCTAGGACCAAGCTTCCTTGACTGCCTGGTCAACTTATGGAACCTCTGGATTTTCTTTAATGTTTAATAAAGTGATATCTTATCCACAATAAACCCTTCTTTTTATGCCGACTTACTTTTCCAGCTGGCAAATACCAATGGTCACAACATACCAGACCACTCACTACTAGTAGATGAAGGGCCAAGCACCCCCACTGCTGGTGCAAAATGAACCATGTGATTTTTTTTTTTTATCATAACGCCTATTTCCCGATAAGGTATAGGGAACCAAAGAAGAAAACTTTCATCATTTACTCCTTAGCTGTTTTTCCAAAAGTGCAAAGGCATCATAATTCAAATGATGCACCAACCTGAAACATTCCCACCTATCCTTCAGTGTATTGATGGAACCCTTCGCCAAAAAAGCTATTCTTAACAGATATTACTTTTCCAAATGAATTCTTATTTATATTTTTAAACCTAATAATATTTTAGTAAATCTTTCTTACAATTTTTCAAATTAAAATAAGAATGCTTTCATTAAAACAATTTTTTTTTTTGCAGCCTAAATAAAAACAAACATACAAAACAATAATGGTGAAAAATTTACCTTATGGAACATTTCCTTGAGGTCTTGTTTAGGGTTAATCCACGAGGCAATGGCATCACAGAAGAATATAAAGTCCTCCACTACTCCTCCTGGATTCACACTGATCATGTTGCAAACCCCACGGAATGCAGAATCCTTTTCTTCATTGTCACGGATGTTCCGTAAGGATATGCACCTGCACAATGGCCAAGAATTGCAGCCCAAGAGGATACCATCAGTAGCCAACGGCAACAGGAAGTGACATGAAAAGTCACCGTAGAGAGGTAGAGGGAGAGAAGAAAAGTGTTGGTTGGTTACAGGTGTCGTGTTCCTGTTCACTATATACTAACACACAAGAAGGGCTCCACTCAAACCTCCGTGGACAGTTAATGGTAAGTCTTCGCTGGTCACATCTACAAGCCACTGAACAAAACTGCTTAAGAAGCCTCTCTACTGCAACTACTTTAAGTCCAATGAGGTTTGTATGGAAAAAATAAACCTAGTTAACAAAACTTTAAATATTGGGACAATGACAGACACTGCTAATTTGAAAACATAAAAAAAATATATACAAAAACAAACCTGTCGTGCAAAGGACAGAGCATGGGGAACACTAATTCAACTAATGAAGCATGTGAATTCAAACTGTCAGCTGTGGCAAATTGTACATTTACAAAACACTAAGCAAAATGAGGTAAATAAAATCTGTGCTTTAACGATAATCTAAATACTGACAACTGAAAAACAGGAAAAGCTAAATAATAACAATAATACTAATTAATTAATCACAACAAATGAAAATTTTAGTATCCTTTTTAGCAAAAGTTATAAAGTGCTCAGCCCTGCTCTCACACATTCCTACAGATTTCATTCATGAATATAGCAACACTTTCTTTCAAGAAAAAGCCACTTTTGCTGGTAAACAGTTAAGGTGAGGAACTGAAGCATTCAACATACATACATGAATCAAAACATTTACCTGGAAAGTAAATATATATACTACATAACTTCTGGACACAGACACTATTAAACATTAGCACAAGAATAATCACAATTATAAACTCTGAATACTTGTGCAAGACCGTGTGACAAAAAGCAGTCACACAGCTAATTCATGTCAGTCTGCTGAAAGTTAAGAGACACCTAGAGCTAGAACTCTAGGTGTCTCCCCCCCCCCTTCCCTGGAAAGTTATCATATTTACAGTATAATGTGATTCTTTAGTGACTGTTTCACATACGCATATTAAGTCACAAACGGATCTGTTTGTGACTTGATAAGCCCAATGTGGGAAAGTCAATAAAGGATCACATTATACTGCATTTGCATATTTTTTCCACCATGTCAGTATTTTATACCATTTATCTCCACCTTTTCCTTCAAACTCAACAGCTAGTTACACAAACAGGACATACATACACCCTTACCCCCATAGCAACAAACACCTCAATTAGCCACAAATGTGTCATCCTGAACATTATACACACTGGGAAATCCCACAGTTCAACCATCAATGCTTCGAGGCAAAAAATCAAACAGAAGACCATACAAAAACTATATCAAATGCAATGCCAGCAAACAGCTAAGTTAGGAAAAAGCCAGAAAGTACTTTTTCTAGTGTTGCTAAGGAATCTTAAATGTATGAAATGAATATAACTATATTAGAGAAGTCAAACCTATTTCACAGTAGAGTCAAAAGAAAAATGACAAAGCTAGTGTTAGCACAGAAAAGAAATGGGAACACTTGTAGATAATAGAAATACACAAAGGCTAAAATGGAGAGTCAATGGTGTTAACAAAGAAGCAAGTCAGTACTGGAGGTAGGAGGCTAGTCAAAGCGGAGCAATCATACACTGAAAATACAGACAAGGAAGTGGAATCTGACGAAGGCATCAGAACCAGATGAAAAAACAACCACAAATACCAAGAGTTGAAATACTGACCAAGCCAAACACATCCCAAATCACTGCCAGGCAATGATGGGTAAAGTACTAGTCTGGAAAACAGCAAATGTGACATCAATATTCAAGACCTATGACAACTTAGAAAATCCTTAACCACACCCTCGAGACTTAACAAGTGCAACATACAAACTACTAGAAAAGAATATAATGCAAGGAAAAAAAAAAAAACAAAGAGATACTTCTTGAATATTTACAAATTAAAGGTCATACCTTACAAACCTTACTGAGGCCTATAATAGACTAATAAAAGCCAGAGAGAGAAAAAAAAAACATGAAGGATGGGTACCACAGAGGTTATATAGCATACTGGAGAAGCAAGCAGAATATAACAATGAAGATATTAGCATGGATAAAGAAATACTTTAAAACAAAAATTAAAAAGTAATTAGTAAAGTTTCTTGGGGATTAGTCTTGGGTTCTTTATAGCTCCACTTCTATACAAATGACCCCACAAACAGTAATAAACTGATGACATCAAAATAATGAGACTGACGACTTTAACAGACTTAGATGATCGAATAAATTGTTACTGAGCTACAACGAGCCATGAAAAAGCTATGAGCTATAAAGTGGGAAGGTGGAGGAAGAAGAGAGAAATTACCATCATGGAAGGTTGGTAGGTAGGTGTATGAATCATAGGAAGTTGAACCCAAGACTTCAAATGCACACTACCTCATGTTTTGCTACTTATTCTGGAGTATGCAGCACCCATATGGCACCCTCACCTGCTAAGAGTTGAAACCCAATGAAGTTCACAGAACATATAGATAGGAACCAAACACCAAAGCAAAGGAACTAGGAAGAAGGAATAAAAGAATTAGCCTTTTGTTACTGGAAGAATAAAGAAGGTTGGCCACAGCATATAAAATACTGAGCCCAAGGATTGCAAGAAATGCCACAGAGATGTCAAAAAACATTTCTTCAATGTGGGAATGGTAAAGAACTGGAATGAACACAAAAATGACAGTGGAAAACTACTCCACACAAGGGTTCAAAAATAAGCTACAACAGAACTATTTTACATCAGGCATTGAAAATTAAACAGAAGGATTAAAGTGAAAACTTACTTATCACAAATTCAGTGTGTGGAAGGAACAAGAAGACTGGAAATAGTGTATAGATTGGGGGATAATGAGAGAGACTGCAGCCTTCACTAGGGATGAGCATAGTGTCTGCATAACACCAGAAACTCACATCAGCCAAATAACCTCTGCAGCCAATGCTCATCTGGTAAATCTAAGAGTAGCCTTCAAGAATCTCAAGAAAGTAAATTCCAGGCCCTTTATACAACATATTTTAGGACCATCTTGGGGTATGCAGCACCAGTAAGGAACCCACACCTGAAAAATAATGTTAAGAAACTGGCAAAAGTGCAGATGTAAACATGGCTTGATCCTGTGCTAAAGGGCATAAGCTACAAGGAGAGGCTAATGGAATTGGATCTAATGACAAAGGAGGGGTGATAACATACAAAGTACTCGGGGATTATTGATTATGCAGGGATAGGCTGTTTGATACGCGAGAAAAACTTAAGAACAATGCTGGAGTGTTTGTTAGTATTTCCTTAGTCTCAGAGTGGTAGGGAAGTGGAATGATCATAGTGAGGAAGCGGTGAAGGTAGGCTTCACATAAAGCTTTAAAAGCAGGACGATGGGACCCGTGAGGCTGAGAGGGAGTGAATCTGACAAATGACAAGTTACAGCAGTAGGGCTGGGATCTGAGAATCGACCCCTGCAACCACAAATAGGCAAGTACACGCACGCACACACACACGCGCACACTACAAAGAAAAATAATTTTAATATAAATTGAAAGGATAAATTAAGATTCAGATCTACCTTTTGAACTAGACATTTGATCTAAATCATAATAAAAAGACAAAAACACAAATAAGCTGGGTTACTGCCAACAAAATATACCTAACCTGGGGAGATTGGTTCATTGAACTAAATACGTACATGTAATCTCAAATTTAAAAAAACTTCATGCTAAATAAGGCAATCTGTAAAAAACTGAAGATTTGAAGAACGTGCTTTCTAAATTGCTTAAACCATAAACAAAGCTTACTGAACCAGTACCCAGGCTAGGTTGTGAGCTTTTTTAAGATTTTTTTTAAATTAGTTAATGTAGTATTTAGTCAATGAACCAAATTTCCCCCTTTGGGTTTAATTTTTTGGGCAGAAACCCCAGCTTATTTGTTTTTTTGTCTTTTTTTTTTATTTAATCAAATGTCTGCAAAAGGTAGATTGAATCTTAATTTACCCTTTAAATTTTATTTTTAAATTATTTTTTTTTGTAGTGTGGCTTGTGTGTGTGGTGGTGTACTTGCCTTTTGGGGGTTGCAGGGGTCGTTTCTCAGTCCCCCCCCTATGCGTAATTTTGTCATTTGTCGATTCATCCTTCAGCTCAGGGTCCATGCCTGTTTTTAAAAGCTTTATGTGAAGCCTATTCACCGCTTCCTCACTATGACATTCCCCTTCCCTACACTCTGGACTAAGGAAATCAACAAAAACTCCCGCATTGTTTTTTTAAGTTTTTCTCCCTATCAAACGCCCCATCCCTGCATAACAATAAACCCGGTATTTGTTGTTTTCCCCCCCTTTTTTTTAGATCCAATTCCCTTGCCCCTCCCTTTTAGTTTTTGCCTTTGCACAGGGATCAAGGGATGTTTACATCGCACTTTTGCCCCTTTTTTAAAATTATTTTTCAGGTTTTCCTTATTTGCGCAACCCAAGATGGTCCTAAAAAATGTTGTATAAAGGGCCTGGAATTTTTTTCTGAGATTCGAAGGCTACTCTTTGATTACCAAGAGATTGGCCAGAGGTTATTTGGTGATGTGAGTTTTTGGTGTTATGCGCACTTTTGCTCATCCCGTGAAGGCTGCATTTCTCATTATCCCCCCAAATTTTTTAAATATTTCGTCTTCTTGTTCCTTCCACACACTGAATTTGTGATAAGTAAGTTTTCACTTTAACCCTTCTTTTAATTTTCAATGCCTGATGTAAAATAGTTCTGTTGTAGCTTATTTTGAACCCTTGTGTGGAGTAGTTTTCCACTGTCATTTTTGTGTTATTCCAGTTCTTTACCATTCCCACATTGAAGAAATGTTTTTTGACATCTCTGTGGCATTTCTTGCAATCCTTGGGCTCAGTATTTTATATCTGGGGCCCAAACCCTTCTTTATTTTTCCAGTAACAAAAGGCTAATTCTTTTATTCCTTCTTCCTAGTTCCTT